GGTTAGTTGAGCCAGGCGTATCATTTGATACCTTCTCTGGTACCGCCTGCAAGTCGTAAATTCAAGGTAGTGTCAATGCGCCTGTTTGGAAGAGTCTGTGAAGGTGCCGTTGCACGCTCTGTATCAAAGCAACCTAAATTATCGTCATCTGGCTTCTGGACTTCTGGACATAAAAACACAGCATGGCTTCCTGTCTCTCCTATTCTAGCACTTTCCATGGGGAGCAAGAAACTCGTTAGACAATGTTTTGCGGCCCTGCTTTACACCACCTTTTCATTCATGTGGATCAAACAATAGAAAGCATTGCAGGAATGCCAAGTGCGCAGACATCCAAAAACGCCACATTCAAAGATGCAGTTACCATTCACATAAAGTCATCTTAATTATGCCGCCTGGAACCAAAGCTGGCACTTTTCTTCACGCTGAAGAGTTCAATTAATGACAGGTGAATTTCGTGATGCACATGCACTGCACGTTTGCGGTGGGTTGAATGACGCCGCAGTCCATGGCAAACATCAGAAAATCTTAATTCGAACTGGCCGTAGCACTGCAGAACCAAGATTTGTCTTCCAACCGCGACAGTTGTGTAGAGATTACGTTTTTGCCTCGTCAACTTTGGACCTGATGGGTAGCAAGTGCCACAGAGTAATATGTGATTGCATTAACGGAACACTTTTCTGAAAAGTTCCTGCCATGCCGCGTTGAGCCGTTCACCGTGACTTGTCAATTCACGCAAGGGTACTGTTGGAGCAACACCTTTGTGCAGCCTCCGTCGTGAAGGTAATAGCATCCACATGTAGTTGAACCAGTCCAGTAGTTGCAGTGAGATTTTGGTCCGAAACGGTTCTTGTTGTTAGTAGGCCTAACAACGAAAAGCGGCTGGTGGGCAGTTTCAGAAAAAATCGGACGAAGCCATGAGTGCCAGAGTTTTGCTCCAGCGTGCAATTTTTGCCAGTGCGATTTGGAATGATATTCTTTCATCTTCTTTCCAGCCTAGATGGACACCAGATGGGAGCACCTTCATATCGCGTCCTGTGTAAGAGCCCGTTAGTGCAGGTTCTGCAGTATCCCTTCCCCATGCAGGAGACAGCCTGAGTGAAAGACAAGTGACGTGGACTTGCTGCAAGGATGGTTAGGGAATGCTTCACCCTGCGTCTTTTCCCTTTATAGGCTTTGTGTAGATTGCATTTCCTGATGACGCAGCTGTGAGTGAAGCTCGGGGCTGCAAATTCGGGAGCGATTAGGACGCCACGGAACCGACGCGGAAAAGCCTTTCTCCCAATGGCCTGCGCCAGCCACCCAGGGTCCTCAACACTGCGACCGGAGCATTTTTGATAAGCCAAGCTCCAGGATCGAATTTTCCCATGACTAGTTAATTCATTTTCTTTGGGGCAGAGGCCGGGCAGCAACTTCACGCAGTTCCGCCCAGTCTGAAAGCACCGGTACCGGTATCCTTGTCCTTGTGTGTTGCATGCAGGCCCTCAATTCCAGCTGAGGCAGGGTGTGCCTGCCTTCATGTTGTGCTCCGCATTGCCAGGCTGAGCCGGCTGGCCAAAAAGAAGTGGCGAAACTTGGTGGACAGACCGACAGGTGGCTTTCAAGAATAGCCTCATGCACCTTCCAGTAGCCCGTCCCTCAGGTTTTAACCCAGCGGTTTGCCCACGTGCTAGGCCCAAAGTTTAATTCATTGAGAAATTTCGAAACGACGGACAAGTTCTTGCTGTTGGAGAGGTTCAGAAGACCCATGTGGAACCTGGGTAGCGGAGTGGGGAAAAAGGAGCTCGGAATTCCTTTTGGAAGATTTGGAAGTTGCCAACTTGTGGCCCCGCATTTGACCCCATAATAATGCGCGTTTTGCTTGAATGTTTGGCGACACATTTATATCCTGCCACCGTGTTTTTTAACCCAGAAAAATTCAGAAGTGACTTCAAGTACGACTTGCCTCCAGCTTCAAAGGACAACACACTGTCACCACAGTCCCAAACCCACACAACAGCCAATGGGAAAAAGATGGAAAAAACAGTTGTCGCGTGCCTAGATGGAGGAAAGAAATGTCAACCCACAGTCTCCAGATAGCTGGTTTCTGATGGATAGAAGGGCCTGTTGAAATTTGATGTAGACTTTGGGGAGTGCATTTGCCACATGCACCCGCCGTATTTGAGAAGATGACTTTGTACGTGTCGTCGAGAAAGTCGCCTTGGGGTACACCGTTCACTGCATCAGCGGAGGACTGTGAGCCAGTCGAGCCCGTCCTGCAAGACATATCCCGAAGAGGTGCGAAGTGGTGGGAAGTCAAACCCATAGACAGATCAGCTTGGCTGAGCAAGTGCGAAGGGGGTCCAAAGTGCAACGTGTGCCCGTTGTTAAAGGACAACCGTGTTTACATTCATCAGTCAGGCGTTTGCTTGTAGGATCCTTTAGGCCCCGAGCACAGTGGAGCAGCTGCCTGCCTCTTCAAAGTTTATGGAGCGCATGTTAGGCTTTTGTTCTTGACTCACAAAACATCCCTCGAAGATGATGACGCGGCGGCCGTTCAGAGCATCCGCAAGCTGTGCGGCTTTCAGCAAATGTCTTGTCATGTTTGTCTTCATTTCGCGATGAAACCGAGACATGAATCTCCGAAATTCATGAAATTCCAACCTAGCGGTGAGAAGTTGAAGTAAAGCAGGCCGCTCATGGGCTGTTGTATCTGGGTCACCTAGCTGCTCTTTGCGGCCCAATCAGCAACAAGTGTGTTTTGCTTTTGGCCACTGTACCGTTGCAACTCCTTTTCACAGTGTTCACAGTGTTCACGGTGCTCAAGTCCATCGGTGCTGGTCCAGAACCCTTCACACCACTCTTGTGCTTTGAAAGCAAACTGACTTTCAGCCACCATGCCCTCTCAGAAATCTTCAAAGGAAGTTTCAAATTCTTCAAAAACAATCCACTCTCCTCAGCATTGCCAAGGACTGTCTTCCAACCAGTTTCCATCGGATCATGACCTTGCCCCATGAAGGCATTGTAGACCTGGCACAGGGAAGCTACAGCATGCTCAGAGACTGATGCCTGCGGTGAGAACCGATTCTTGGCATGAGAACGATTCTGAGACCAGTGCGTTAGTTTTTGGACATCTTCCCGTCATTCTCAGCATGCGTGTCTATCTGCACATCCAGCCTACCTTTCCCTACCCTGTGTGGAACCCTACCGGCCCACTACGTCCAGGTTCTGTGTCGCGCATTTTTTTTCTCAAAAATTTGAAGGGTAGGGTTTCAGAGAGAACGTTGCGAAACACTGAAAGGTATGCTTTAAGTCGCTACCTTCCCCATTCGCATTTTTTTCCCAACCCTTCAGATTTTCGCGGAAAAAAAGTTCGCAGCAGTTGTTTCACACAAACCGACTGACATGCTGAGTACGATTCCAACAGCCAATGTGGTGAGAACGATCCCGTACACCAATGCGCTTGAGAACGATGAATGTCATGAGAACGATTCCTAATTCCTAACCCCAATGCGATGAGAACGATTCCAGAAACCAATGCGATGAGAACGATTCCAGAACCTCATGAGGTGAGAAACATCAGCAAGGGCATGCCAGTCAAACCATCTTTTTTTTGTTTTGCATCGATTTCAGGACCTAGAGTAGGATCATTTTGAAGCATGCGAATGTCAGAAAAGAATGGGAGAGCCAATGTTAGAGCTGGGTCACCTAGCTGCTCTTTGCGGCCCAATCAGCAACAAGTGTGTTTTGCTTTTGGCGACTGTACCGTTGCAACTCCTTTTGCCGAGCAATACGTGCATGATGTCAATCCGATTGCGACAAAGATGCGGCTCATAGCATGCTCAGCCACCCGTACATTTAATCCTTACCGTTGTGCCGGAATGTCTTTTAGCTTGGGAAAAGGTGCAGCCAAAATCGGCCACGATGCTCCCCTGTTTTCCCGACAAAAATGTAGTGTCTGAGCGGTCCTGAAAAGTTTGAAAATGCCTTGCCCATGACTATTGCCATGATTTCGGTCGCAACGACCTTCAGAAAAGTGAGAACGGCTCAGCATTTTGTCAGACCATGTCAGACCAAACGGTGTGGGTTCAAAATGGTTCAAACATGAGCTGATGCACGCAAGTCACGCAGAGGTTTCTGCACATATCAGTGCATCTTGGGATATCTGGTCGCTATTGGACAGACAGACGAAAAAGATGGGGAGCATTTTTGCCTGTTGGAATGTGTCCTCACAGCGGGGTCTAAGTGGGATCAACATGTCGAGTCGAAACAATAAATTAACATCACAGCGTAAAAGTTTGATGCATCCAGAGCCAAATTTTCAGGAGTGCAGCTGATTGACGAGACAGCGTGGTAGTTTCTCATGAAAGTTGACCAGAGCGATGTATGAGATTCTTTGGCTCCCCATCACCTTCAAACAAACAGGTATAGGGCATTGTGTGAGTAGATGTATTCGGTCGGGCCGATGTTTGGTTTTAGACTTTAGATTTATAGAATTGTTCCATTACCTTGATGCATGTCGGCTTTGTGTGTTTGAAATGGAAGGAGGATGAAATTGGATGATTTGGATTGATGAATTAGGTTCGATGGTCGGTGGGCATTCAATGAGAGATCACAACAAATCAAACTGGACGGGTGGAAGAGAGAGAGAGAGATATATATATATATAATATATATATATTATATATATATTATATATATACATATACATATATATATATACATATATATATATATATACATATATATATACACATATATATATATATACATACATATATATATATATATATCATATGAATCATGGATTTGCATTGCGGTTTTCGGCAACGGCAGTAGGTGATAACCTGATGGCCATTATTTTCGTTTTTGGTGTCCAATAATACGTACATTCATGTGCAGGGGCTGGTGCTGTTTTTTTTTTTGAGCGAACTTTGACCACCCTGTCGGTTCAAACGTCGATGAGAGAACATGATGAGACCAGCACCACAAATTGAATATAATGAGAACTATGATATAATATGATGAGAACGAGCAGAGCAGTGTTCGCAGCAAAATTCGTTAACTTCGACCGGTCAGGGCCGGGGAACACGGAAAACGTGCAGATAGACGTGCAGAAATGGAATGAAATCACCGCGACAGAGGGAGTGCAGCGGAAGGTGACGGGGTGGACGCCAAACAAAGAATGGGTTCCGAATATCTTATCACTTGATGGGCAGTGTGTTGCACGAACATATGGAGCTTTCCTAAAATAGGTACCCCAATTATTCCAAAGTAGGCCATTCGTTCTTTTTAAGATTCATTTTAGTATTGAGATCCATGGTGACTTGGGGTACCCCCATTTTAGGACACCTCCAGCATGGATGAAAACGCACGGTGTGTCAAGGCCTGTATGATGATGAAAAATATTGAAAGATTGTGACTCACACCTACAAAGTGATGGTTGATTATGGCGGTGTCCCTCATTTCTAAATCATGTCCCAACTGTGTAGGTGTAAGGAAGCGGTGCCCGGTGAAACCTCCACACTTTCCAACTTGGTTCAAGTTGGAGTGCTGCAGTTTGAGTTTGAAATGTAAACATGGGTCTTCTGGTATTTCCCAAATTCATGTGTGAACATAGAAAACCTGGAAAGCAGCAAAAGTAGATGGAACGACAATAGTTGGCACGCTGGAGTGTGCAAGTCTGGATTACTTTAACCCTTGTTTGGGACTACTCCATATTTTTTTACTATGCAGTCGTGCCATGTTGGGCTCCAAACTCGCAACATGGATGCTGCTTGAAATAAACCAACCCCAACCGCAATGGTTTAGCATCCTCTTTCCTATCACAGTTCCATTAAAATAAGTTTCAGGGTACCATGGATTTTGGATGTGATTTGGGGATGGGTCAAGCTAGACGACTTGAGAACCACGTAGGTTAGATTTCCATAATCCATTTGGATAATGATTGGTGGCACCAGCAGCATCTTGAGCCCATAAGTCATGGAAAATGAGTGGCCAGGACAGCCAAGTAGGAAGCGAAGGCAAGATGATGGAGGAGTGGCTGACAGGGATGGCAGTATCGTAGCATGGTTTTTTCGTTGTTTTTGAAGGCAACACCTTTTTTGCGTTTTATTCCTTCAGATGACTAACTTGGTCTATCGGCGCTCAAATTTTGTGACCCATGTCAGTTTTCTTTTGGAGACTTTGGAGATCCAAGCCAGCGCACTGTCAGTGGAATTTTTCCCGAGTTTATTCTTTGGCATTCATGCTGGGCAATGAATATCTTCATATCTAACTTACTGTAACTGAGAAAGGACAGACAACCCTTAAGGTCTATGTGAATCTTATTTGATTTACATGTCAATCAGAACCGCAAGAACGGGGTGCACAAGATGATCATGCTGAACGCCCAGAATAAACCTCCATGTTGGAGGATGCTTTATACCACTTATTTCTTGTAAATTGGGAATTATTCACTATTGCTGGGTTTATGGCATTATTGCTGTTGACTGGCATCATTATTGGGGTTCAGCTTCAGTTTCTGCACGTCCGATTCAGGACTGTGCCGGACTGAGAGCCTTCATGATGCCATGGAGACATGATGAGGTCGCGTTGCGGGGTTTTACTGTACAAAGCTTTGGTTTTGTCCACTTTGGGTGCTGGGACAGTGCGTAGCAGATCCACAACTTGACTCCGAAGTCGTGTCTCTTTTTTAGGACAATGGACAGTTTCTTTCTCTTTGGTGTTAGGTTTGTTTGTCGGACGGTCCCTGATGGCGATGAGAGTCAACAGGATCTTAAAATCGAACATGATGTGGGTTGTGAGCAGGGTTGGTCATTGCTGTAGCTGCTTGCCTTGTAGGCAAAACATGAAGTTCGATCTTTGCGCAATAAACGACAACAAAAAAGTTACAGACTTCGCAGCGGCGCCAACTACCTAATAACCGTTTGGCTCGTTTATCGCCATCGTACAACAGCATATAGGCATTGGCATCAGGTTAAGTGCCACGAACCTACTCGTTCGGAAGCCATCAGAAACTTTCCGGGCAAAAACGATCCGAAACTTCGACCATGGGAACCTTCCCGTTTTGAGGGTTGCCAAAGGGTGAGGATTTTCTTTTAATGAACGGAACGCGTGTCACAACATCGAGAAGATACATGTAGAATCACATAGGTCGAAGACATCTGCTCTATAAAAAGAGAACACACCTGGGTTGTCTAAACTCAAAAGCTGTAGCGTCCACATTCTTTGACGGAAAAGAGATGTGTAATTAGTTGTGTGGAGAGTTTGCAGGGATCTGAAAGGCTCACAGAAAAGGTAAATGTTTCGTAGAGCGGAGAAAAGGTAGATGTTTGGTAGAGCGGTGTTCTTTGATAATGTCGCAAGATGTTGCGGGTGTCGGCTCATTTTTGTACAGACCGTCAATGATTTCAATGATGCACGAAGTGGTCCCGAAAGTTCGCTGAAGACTGGCGTGATGTAGGAATCAATGTTGTCAAGTTTGGCAACTGCATTCTACCTAGTCAAGAGCGTGATTCCCAAACCAAACAACCTCACAGATTAAGAAAGTATAATTTCAGCGCATGCATTGATAGCGTCGAAGCCACGCCTTTTTTCTAGCACTTGGAGTTCAAACACCTTTGGTTGGAAGTGGACTCAACAAATCGGCAAGTCCAAAGCCCAGCTCGGAAACCTGGCGGAACCGCAAGCGGAAACATGTTTCAGCGACGACATGCGACGACGCAACATCAAACGCGGTCGCAAATGTTAGGAAATTGGTACGTAAACTGTAAACATTGCGGTTTTGAAATGCCAGATGCATCTTTCGGTTGCGTTCACATGAAATGATAGTCTATAATGTAAAAAACCGACGAAACATTGACATATTTCCCAAGTCGGACACAGCCTTTTCGCACAAAATGAGCGGAATGTCAAACATTGAGGTAAAATTGCGATTTTTGGGCTGACGCCCCTCGTCGGCTCCGCCGGACCACTCGGCCCTCCATTTCATCGCAGTGAGGGCGTGAAAGTTACTGAATGAGGACCTGCTTCAGAAATAAGTATATTCCTTAGGTTTTTTGGAATATATTTGTTGGAATAGACGTTTTTTGGGGAGCAAGTGAGTTCCCGAAAGCTCCTGCGAAGGGTTTTTCCTAAAGAACTGCTGCCGATTTCAACTTGTTACTTCGTGTAAAGGCGCCTCTGTGCAAAGACTTCTCTGTGTAAAAGCTTTTGTGTGTAAAAGTAAGATTCTCTGTGTAAAGACTTCTTTGTGTGAAAGCTTCTTTGTGTGAAAGCTCGTCTGTGTAAAGATTTCTCTGTGTGTAAAAGCTTCCGTGTGTAAACACTCTCTGTGTAAAGGCTTCTCTGTGTAAAAGTTTCTGTGTGTAAACGCGTCTGTGTGTTAAAGCTCTCTGTGTAAAGACTCCTTTGTGTAACAGCTTTTGTGTGTAAAAGCTCCAAGACGTTTGTGTGAAAAAGCTCCGCAGAGGAAAGACTTCTCTGTGGAAAACCTTCTGTGTGTAAAAAGCTACTCTGTGTAAAGGCTTCTCTGTGTAAAAGCCCCTGCATGTGTAAAAGCTTGCTGTGTGTAAACGCTTTGGTGTGTAAACGCTCCTCTGTGTAAAGGCTTCTCTGTGTAAAAGCTTCTGTGTGCAAACGCGTCTGTGTGTAAAAAGTCCTCTGTGTAAAGACTTCTTCGTGTAAAAACTTCTGTGAGTAAAAGCTCCTAGACGTTGGTCTGCAAAAGCACCTTAGAGTAAAGACTTCTCTGTGTAAAACCTTCTGTATGTAAAAAGCTCCTTTGTAAAGACTTCTCTGTGTAAAAGCCCCTGTGTGTGTGGGTAAAAGCTTCTGTGCGTCTCCTCCCTCCAGCTTTCTTTCGGGTCACGCTGTCGTCCAGTTTCAATCTGCAACGTTGTTTCTTGTGGAAGAGTGCAAAATAATGCAAAGAACATGTGAAAGCATCGCGCGTTTAAAAATTGAACATAAACAGCGCACAAAGTGCTGTAATTTACAGCATATTGCGCTGTCAGCTGGCAAGAACCCGCGTAAATACCACAGTTTTAGTCCCAAAGTGGCTAAAACACTGTTATTTACAGGGTTTCGTTCACGTCACGATCTTCGATTTTTTGGGAAACGCGTAAATACCAGCGTTTTTTGCGTTCATCAAGGCAAAAAATCGGTTCAAAAAGTGCAAAAAATGCTGTAATTTACAGGGGTTTGGCGCCGTCACGGGCAAAAAACTGTGTAAATACCAGCGTTTCAGCGTCCAAAAGTGGCTAAAACACTGCTATTTACAGTGTTTCGTGCCTTCCACGTTTTCTTGAAATTGCAAAAACAGTGTAAATACCAGCATTTTTTGCGATCAACTTGCCAAAAATGCTGTAATTTATAGTGTTTTTTGGCTTGGCTTTCAAAAACACTGGTATTTGCAGTGTTTTGTGCATCTCGGGTCAAAAAAGTATTGGTATTTACAGCATTTTCTGCGTTTTTGCATTGCTCCCGCAAAAGACGTTAAAACGCAAAAATGCTGTAATTTACAGCATTGTGCCCACTTCGAAAAGCTGAAAATCGTCCGAAAAATGTGTCAAAACGACACTTTTTTTCGATTTTAGGTACCCTCAAAACGGGGGGGGGCGGGATTTTGCTCTTGGAGACGCTTATGAGCGACCCGGATCCCGGCCAAAAAGCTCTCCCCCACCTTCCTGAAGGATTTTGGGTGTTTTTCGGGGCCCGGCGTCGGAGGGTCGGCGGCTTGGGGCGCGCCTCACCTTAGAGCTCTAGTCGCTCTGGGACGCTCGTAGGGCAAGCCACTCGTGGGGAGCCGGCGGAGCCGAATTTCGAAATAGAATGGGCTAGCGCCCGGGTGCCGCCGACCCCCCCTATTTGGGGGGTCCTGCAGAGAGAGGGAGAGAGATAGATGGATGGATGGATGGATGGATGTATGGATGGATAGATAGGCAGAGAGATATAGAGAGAGAGAGAGAGATAGACAGATAGATAGATAGACAGTTGGATAGACAGATAGGTAGATGGAGAGATAGATGGATAGATAGCTGGATGGATAGATAGATGGATAGATAGATAGATAGATAGATAGAGAGGGAGAGATAGATGGTGACGATGAGAGGGCTTGGTGGCAGCTGCCGCGAGGGAATTGGAGCGTTTGAGGGGTTTTAGGGGTTTTAAGGGTTTGAAGGGTTTGAAGACTGGCAAACGGCAGGCTTGAATGCCCTAACAAGAGAGGGCTGTGTGGGTGACGATGAGAGGGCTTGGTGGCAGCTGCCGCGAGGGAATTGGAGGGTTTGAGGGGTTTTAGGGGTTTTAAGGGTTTTAGGGGTTTTAAGAGTTTGAAGCCTGGCAAACGGCAGGCTTGAATGCCCTAACAAGAGATGGCTGTGTGCAGGCAAAGGGCAGGCTGCAATGCTGGAACGCTGACGGCCAGGAGCTTGGTGGAAGCTGCCGCGAGGGATGTGTAGGCAAAGGGCAGGCTGCAACGCTGGAGCAGCAAAGGGTGACGATGAGAGGGCTTGGTGGCAGCTGCCGCGAGGGAATTGGAGGGTTTGAGGGGTTTTAGGGGTGTTAAGGGTTTGAAGCCTGGCAAACGGCAGGCTTGAATGCCCTAACAAGAGAGGGCTGTGGGCAGGCAAAGGGCAGGCTGCAATGCTGGAACGCTGACGGCCAGGAGCTTGGTGGAAGCTGCCGCGAGGGATGTGCAGGCAAGGGCTTGGTGGCAGCTGCCGCGAGGGAATTGGAGCGTTTGAAGGGTTTCAGGGGTTTTAAGGGTTTTAAGGGTTTGAAGGGTATGAAGCCTGGCAAACAGCAGGCTTGAATGCCCCAACAAGAGAGGACAGTGCGGGTGACGATGAGAGGGCTTGGTGGCAGCTGCCGCGAGGGAATTGGAGGGTTTGAGGGGTTTTAGGGGTTTTAAGGGTTTGAAGCCTGGCAAACGGCAGGCTTGAATGCCCTGACAAGAGATGGCTGTGTGCAGGCAAAGGGCAGGCTGCAATGCTGGAACGCTGACGGCCAGGAGCTTGGTGGAAGCTGCCGCGAGGGATGTGCAGGCAAAGGGCAGGCTGCAACGCTGGAGCAGCAAAGGGTGACGATGAGAGGGCTTGGTGGCAGCTGCCGCGAGGGAATTGGAGGGTTTGAGGGGTTTTAAGGGTTTTAGGGGTTTTGAAGGTTTGAAGCCTGGCAAACGGCAGGCTTGAATGCCCTAACAAGAGAGGGCTGTGTGCAGGCAAAGGGCAGGCTGCAATGCTGGAACGCTGACGGCCAGGAGCTTGGTGGAAGCTGCCGCGAGGGATGTGCAGGCAAGGGGCAGGTGGAGCAGCAAAGGGTGACGATGAGAGGGCTTGGGGCAGCTGCCGCGAGGAAGCAGTGCAGCAGTTGGAGGGTTGTAAGGGTTTTGAACGTTTGTGAAGGGGCTTGGTGGCAGGTAATTCGAGGGATTTGGAGGGTTTTAAGAGTTGTAAGCGTTTGAAGCCTGGTAACGGCAGGCTTGAATGCCTCAATAACAGAAGGCTATGACAAAGCAGGTTCCACACCTCCGGTGGTCCCAGGCGCCGCCCCTGCCTTGGCGAAGGCCAGGGTCGGCGGATTTCAAATGCAACCCTTTCGCACGAAATCATGGTCGAATATCAAAAACGGCAGTAAAATTGCTAATTTGAAAC